CGGGAAAACGACCGTACTTATCCACAGGCTCTCGCATACGACACCGGTACCGGGCTGAGGGGCTGCGGTGCGCTCGAGTCTGAGATCCGAGGGTCAGCGTGAGGAGGGCGCCGCACCGCTGGGAAGCACAGAACACGTGGGGGCAATGATGTCAAGGAGCGCTTAGACCTGCTGACGCAGATTCGCAGATTCGTAGATTCGTTACACCTGGGAAGATGTAGGAGGAAAAGTCAGTACCCCAAGTGAATTCTAAAATCACCTAAAAATTAACTGGTTTGACGATGTGTTAGACGGTGCTCCGTATTGTTCATTTCCTTTTCCACGGCAACCGAATCTGTCGAGTTTCTAGGAAGCCCAGTATACTTAAACCTAGGTCTCTAACCGTCTAGTTACTACAGTGTAAAGAACCCTAGATAAACGAAACGTGTTTATGGTCTGCTCGAGAGTTCTTCAGTCCTCCGGGAAGACCTGATATCGTATCCAAAAATAAACGCGATATGTTGTCTTTATCAATAGATTAAAATAAAATCTATTTTATTTTAAGATGTGATTAAAATAAAATCACATCTCTGAAGTCTTTTACGTTTGGGGAATTTGTTTCCACACGGGCACCTACAGAAGAGCACCAGACTGCTCCAGGGCGCTCACTTCCGGTGGGAGGGTGGGATCTCTGCGCGCAGGCGTGCTGAGTCTCAAGGGCGGGCTTCGGGGGCAGAGGGTGTTGACGCGCGGGCAACCGAATTTGTTGACGGGGCGGCGTGTTTGCGGGCCGCGGTGGGCTAAATCGAGCTGTCCAAAATCGCGCCCGGACTCGTAGGAAGAAAGGTACTCAGCTTGCACGAGGGTGATAGTTCACAATCAGGATTTTAACGTCCCCTGCGCGCTGAGTCTCCGCGCACAGCTCAAGCCCGCCTCCGCGTCTGTTTGGGTTTTTTACCGCAGCCCAGGGTGTCGGGGAGGGCTCAGCTAGTACGACTCCCATAGCGTCTTCTCGTCTCTTGGCACAGTTCCTTTCAGATTTATTGCCTTGGTGCATTAACAGACTCGGCGAGATTAATAGGTAAATAAGGCATTCCTGTCGTGTTTAGTCCTGGGTTGCACGTCAGAATTGCAATTTACAGCTTTGTGGATACTTTGTCTAGATTTTTTTTTTTTAAGTTAAGGACTGCTTCACAATTATTTTTGGAATTCCGATATTCCTCATCAAATCCACTTCCACCCTTCCTTTTCCTTTAAAGAGGTGAAGCTGTATCCTCACATCTGTGAACCCAGAGGAAAGTCCCTCTGTTAGGAGATCCATGGGACTTGTTTTGTGACTAGCCGTATGAAAAACTTTGAGTTTAGCCAGGAAAGGGGGAGAAGGGTTAAAATGCCAGTGAGGAGACTGCGAGAGGTGGTTTCCCCAAAGCAAGGGGCTAACTTGGCTGTCCTGGAAGATGAGCTTTCCCGTGTTCCTCCAGCATTGTCTGCAAATAAACGTCTTGCTCTTGGAATGAGGACTGGCTCAAATGGAACGTTAAATGGTATGTGATTCCAAGCGTTGCAGTTTTCCAACCAGTTTATGTTTCTGTAAACTGTCAGGCTTTATTTTCATCTCTAGCTGGTGTTGTAGGAGCCCCCAAATTTAAAGGAGTGTTTGCTTTCTCAGGTGTAAGATACAAATCTGGTTTGTACGGATGTTTGAAAAGTAACTTGGTTACTGGGGAAAAGCCAGACAATCTGCAAAATGTATGTCGAATGAATGAAACTTGAATATTTCCTGTTGTGCTTCTTTGTGGTGTGGACTCTGCATCCCGTTCTTGTTCACACCCATGATAGATAGAGCGAGCATGGATAACCTGCTTAACATTTACCGAATGTTCTAGCTTTGTTTCAGGTCGTGCTATGCGATCTGGCATAGGAGAAATGCATAACTCAGTCTTCGGTGACTTCTGTAGTTACAGTTCAGCTGTGCTGTTTAGACCCGTGAGTTTAAGGATCATATTAATGAATGTGTGTGCAAGAACAGCAATATGCTCCATGCTTTTTAGAGAGCTGCTATACTGGCCTTTTGTCAGGCCAGGCTTTTGTGTCTGTCTGGTATTTTCGTTTGTTTTGGAGATGGGGTTTCACTGTAGAGGCCTGACTGGCTTCGAACTCACTGTAGACCAGGCTGGTCTGGAACTCAAGAAATTCGCCTCCCAAATGCTGGGATTAAAGGCATGAACTACCGTGCCTGGCTATATATGGGTTTGTTCTGGTGAATCACATATTTTTTTCCATGTTGAATAAATACCCTTTAGAATTTTCAGAAAAAGTATATTTTCAAGTGTGTGTGCGCGCGTGCGTGTGCACACACAGGAGTTCAGGTGCCCATGGAGGCCAGAGTAGTTGGATCTACCTAGAGCTAGATTTATAGGCCATAGTGGGCTGTTGGAGGTATGAAACTTCAGTCCTCTGCAAGAGTAGCAAACATTCTTTCCTGCTTTGCCGCCTCTCCAGCCTCTGAACAAACTGTCGAGAGAGGGTCTCATTGTGTAACTCTGGATCGACTGAAAATCACTTTGTAACCAGGCTAGCCCCAAATAGAAATTCACCTTAAAGTACCGCAATAAAAGGTGTTCGATCCCATTGTTTGCTTCTACAACATTTTAGATCTCACCCACTTCATTGCTTTGACTGATCCTTATGTTCCTAAATATCAGCCGTAAAGTCTTTCATTGGAATATATTTAAATGTGTTTTCTCAGTTTCTTTTACAGGGAAGTATCTTCACATTTGGTTTTTAAATGACTACAGTGCTTTCAGTTCATGTGTCATGCCTGTACAGGGGCTGCAGGTCAGATTGTGATTTAAAAGTCACTCAGATTGGACTTATTGCTCCATGCTAGAGCTCACAGGAGAGATGGGGGCCTCGGTCTCAGTGCGTGGTAAAAACAACAAAGCAACACCCACTGCCTTCTTTGTCTTCTTAGGCTCATTGGATTTAACTTCTGCCAGAAAACATTCCCAGGTTCTGTCAGGAAATCCCACTGTATCCAGTAAAAATGTAAGTAAAGGGATACTAAGTCATATTAAAACTTCCGCACTCTCAAATTCTTATGTTTTGTTAACATATTTTATTTGTTAACATTTGTTAACAACAAATTATGTTTTGTTAACAACGTATTTTATTTAGGTACTTCATATGAAGAGAAATGTTTTGTTTTTCATTTGTTCATTTTATTTTTATCACATTTTTATCTGTTTATTTTGTGTACATGTAGGTATGTGGGCATACATAGGCCATTTTTGTTTGTGGAGGTCAGAGAACAACTTTCAAGAGTTTATTCTCTCCTCTCATGTGAGTCCCAGTAATCAGATTTGAGTCACTAGGCTTGACAGCAAATGCCTTCCTCTGTTGAGCCAACTTTCCAGCTCAAGAAAATTTTGGTTTTATTTATTTATTTATTTATTTATTTATTTATTTATTTATTTATTT